GAAATCAGACCGTATCGACAAGGTCAAAATGCTTGTCAGAAGAGAGAGAGAAAACTTTTTTTAAAGATTTATATGTTTTAATCATGTATCTCTTCTAGGAAACATGTTTGATGTTTTAGCGCCAAATCTTTGACAGGTATGATCAGGATTCTGCAAGGATTCGCTGTTTTTTCCTAAGGAAACGGCTAAATTGTGAAAGAAGCATGTAGCCACGGTAAGGAGGAAACGGTAGATTCTGGGACTTCTGGATTCTAAAGTACTCCATTAGACTCCACGTGAGGCCATCGGACTTCATGGGACCACATTGGACTTCGTGGGACTCTATAGGATTCCGATTTAGTTTGGAGTCATAGCGTCGCCGCTGTTAAACAAATATGGGGCTGTCCAATCTGTTATCGCGAATAAGGAATAATTCTAATATTAATGAAAAGTCATGCCAACATTCGCACAAACTATACATAGTTTATTTAATAACTTTGTACTCAAAAGAAACAGGGTTATCTTACGTCCATCAGAAGCATATATATTTGGCTAATAATCAATCGTATAATATAAGAAGAAATTAAAGTCAACGAAAACAAATAAAATAACAATAACTGAACAGCTTAAATATTTAAGAAAATAATAAGTGAGCTAGTATCTTGAAAAATATTGAGTCGATAAATAAAAGATTCCAGATGAAAGAAGGTCGAAGAAGCAATAGGAAAGGCACAAACCTTTCTTGATCAGTTCTATTCACAAGACAGTTTTCTACTCAAAACATTGAGCTATTGTAACTCTATACACTATTAAATATACGCAAAAACCAACATTTTAGATGACCTTGATACTTCATGAGTTTTGATTGGAATGAGGTCGAGGTCTGAAACTTTTACTATAGGGAGAATTGTTAGAGATGTATCTTCTGTCACAGTTTCACCCCAGCAGTGTATAGATTTTCGAAAGGAAAAATTTCTGAAGTTTTAGAAATTTCAATGACATTGTGTCAGAAGACCATATCTACTTTTCAAATTTCTGTAACTTCCGTAATTACTGGAATTTTTCAAACATCTAAAATAACTCACCATGAGTCGTGGTTTAATGAGCACAAATATTGAAATTACAGAGATTTTAATAATTTCTTTTTTCGAAAATCTGAACATAGCTCCAGCATATATATAACTAGTTATATCCTACCCAAACAAATATTCTTTGGTGATATTTTTAACTTTTTATTGTTGTTCATACGTAAATGCCCAAAAATTAAACACTATTTCTACGATATTTTATAGCACAATAAGTAGGAGAAAAAGTTTCTCCACTAGCTTTTGGGCACGTTCGTGTCGCTCGTTGAAAAGACTCTAGAGCAATGGTCGGCTCCGTCGCTGCCTTGTGATTACTACATCCCTCACTTCATGTTTCAGACTCGATACACATCTTTTCTCTTTGTCCATTGAGTATCTACATGTTACTAATGAATAATTATCCATTGCTTTATCATTTCATTGACATGAATACGTGCCAGATATCCAACTTTGCAAGCATGATCTGCATGAAATAGCTGATTGGTACTCGGTTACGATCTGTGCTAATGCGTTATATAATTCTCGGCGATGTTATTACATGGATTCGATCCATGAGTATGCCTTTAGTGGAGACATTAATACTTGTTGATTTATATGATCGTAGTAAGTTATCAATAAGTTAAATCAAATAAAAAGTCACTCGACATTTGTTCATCAATTGTCTTGCATCTGCAACTGTAAATATTAAGTTTCATTCAGTACTACAGGGCAGATCATCATATAAATTAGAACCATAGAAAATCATTCTGAAATACTTAGAACTCATCCTTACTGAACCACGAAGTTTTAACTTTCTGAATAAATGAGTTACATTGAGAACTTTCTTAGTACAAAGTTTCCAGTCGACATTTGAAAGCCACTTTTCTGAGTGAACCTAAGAAAGAACTATGACGTTGTGCTGAAAATTCTGTAAAAACTAAATGTTTCGGCAGAAACCAGCCAGGACGCACGAACTTGTACAAAATATGTAGAGCTCACTAAGATCTATAAAATGTACATTGTCTTGACTCGAAGAAAGATTGATATTTTGGAATATTCCTTCGTTAATCATGTTGTTTTCGAGATGTTGTTTTGAGAAAAAAACTATCTTTCTTAAGCTGGGCTTTTCTTTTTCTTTTATTAATACATAAATCTTTATCAATATTTTTTCGATATTCATTCTTTTTGTTTTATGTATTGGGCGGTTTGTTTTTCAAAAGCGAATATCATCAATAATAATAACAACAAAAAATAGATGAAAAACGAAGTAAACACACATAAATGCCTATGGCAAAAAAGAAAAAAAGAACATTAGTTTATTCATTTGTTCACATGCATATCTCAATCTTTATTCGATTCATCAGTTGGTTTGTTTTCTTCATCTTCTCTCTTTCTTTTTCCATCACCTTGGCCTGTTCCTTCCGTTAATATACTTGCTTTCTTTGTACCAGATACAATATCATCGATACGGAGTAATAAAATAGCAGTCTAAAAACAAAAAGAAAATCAAAATTGCCTCAACAAAAATAAATAAATTCATTTTACTTCAATAGCTGTTTTTATTGTTTGCATTTTAACGGCAATTGGTTCCCATATACCAAATTTATGCATATCAACTAATTGACCAGTTTCACCATCAATACCCCATGTAAATTGATCAGGTTGTTGATGATGTTTAGCACGAAGTGTTGTTAATTGTTTAACAACATTACCACCACAATTTTGTATTAATGTTCGTGGAATAATTTCTAATGCACGACTAACTGCTTTATATGGATATTTTTCAACGCCTTGAAAAAACTCATCCTTTGCTTGACTTTCACTATTACTCATTGCATCAAGTGCTCT